TGCATCGATCCAAAAGCCGACGATCCGATGCATCGACACGTCCGCAAGATAATCGATTAATGTTTTTTTTTCCCCCTCCGGTCTATTTTTATCCATTTGCTCCTGGGCGTAATTCTCCCTCCCGTGCTGCGGTGCCGCTAAACCTATTTTCCCCTCCTACCGCGCTTCCTGGTTATACTCTTACAGCAGTTTGTTGCAGCAAGCTTCACACAGACATTTTTAAATTATGCCCAGTATTTAAGCGTGGTCTGAGCTACACGCTGTGGGTCTAGATACGGCCGAGGCGATGAGGAAGTGGGGGCGAGTTTAGTCCGACGACGGAGGGACAATGGGGCAAAAAGAGCGGAGATTCAGCTGGAAAAAGGCTCCCAGCGTTCTCGCGCACCTCGCTCTTCTAGCGGGTCAAACTTCACGAGTTGTTTTCCGCAATTTCGGTCATAAAAAGAAAACTAGCCGGCCTCCTGTCTGCTGCACTGTTTGCGGTCAGCTACAATCTGGGAGAGGTGCAGCGGAGCGTCTCTCAAGGGGCGGTGACGTCAACACTCTGGAGCCTTCTTCTTCTTCTTTTTTTTAATGGCGGTTGGCAAACAACTTATAGGTGCATTACCGCCACCTTCCAGAATGGAGTATGGACCAGACAAACTATTATATTCTCCCTAAAATACCCGTTCTTCTTAGAAAATTAAAAATACCCCCAAAAACTACATCCCCAGATGACCTTTGAAACAATTCCCTTATATCTAGTTTATTTTTATTCCTGTCTAACTCTCTACACAACATCTCTCTTTCCTGAATATATTTATTACATTCTAAAAAAATATGTTGGACAGTTTCTCTGGAGCCGAGGTATTGCATTGAACTCATTACACTGATATTGTGCAGTATTTTTGCAGTATTTTTTGATGCAACTTTTCTACTTCTGTTATTTGCTGTTGTTTCTAAAGAAAATGCATAATGATATTACAGCTTTCATTGATTTATTTCAAACTTGAAACTTTGTTTAGCCTGTAAGGTGTAAAAAAATAATAATAATAAAAAAAAAATTAACCGATTAATCGATTAATCGAATCGAATCGAATCGTGGTGTATTCTTAAGTATCGAAAATAATCGAATCGTTGGGTCAGGAAATCGATACTGAATCGAATCGCCATGATGGATGAGATTTACACCCCTAGTCATTTCTATACCTTGTTATAGTTCTTCCTAGTAGCTCAATATATACATCTGCTCTTTTGGGCTTTATTTCAAGGATATTTCTCACAGAATAAAACTGATGTTAAGTTTTGTTTTTTTTCAAACTCAGTATCTTTATCACTAAATGTTGTTGCTGTATTTGCAATCTGGTAACCCTTATTTTTGTGCATTCCCTTTTTCAAAAGTATCAGGTTTTGAGTAAAACGGTGAACTCTGTTTTTAGTTGGGTTGGGTTTTTTTTGTGTGTGTTTGTCTGTTTTCATTTTATCTTAACCAAAGCAGGGTTAATCCAGAACTGCCTTTTTTAAAGAATGTAAACCTCATTGAGGTTTTGTTTTAGGGTTGGTTAAGCATACAGATAATTTCCAAACAAGGAGAATTTCCTTCGCTGGGAAATATATAAGAAATTCAAACACTAAGTTTAAGTATTTTTTTGAAAGGTAAATGTTTGCTGTTTGGGAGGTTTAGCATTGTAATTAGCATAACTTCCATCATCAAAGGTTTTAAGTTTATACAGGTGCTGGTCATAAAATTAGAATATCATGAAAAAGTAGATTGATTTCAGTAATTCCATTTAAAAAGTGAAACTTGTATATTATATTCATACATTACATACAAACTCATATATTTCAGATGTTTATTTTGTTTAATTTTGATGATTACAAATGACAACAAATGAAAATCTCAAATTCATCATATCAGAAAATTAGAATATTACTGAAGACCAATAAAAACAAAGGATTTATAGAAATGTTGGCCAACTGAAAAGTATGAACATGAAAAGTATGAGCATGTACAGCACTCAGTATTTAGTTGGGCCTCCTTTGGCCTGTATTACTGCAGCAATGCGGCGTGGCATGGAGTCGATCAGTCTGTGGCACTGCTCAGGTGTTATGATAGCCCAGGTTGCTCTAATAGTGGCTTTTAGCTCTTCTGAATTGTTGGGTCTGGTGTATTGCATCATCTTCTTCACAATACCCCATAGATTTTCTATGGGGTTAAGGTCAGGAGAGTTTGCTGGCCAATTAAGAACAGGGATATCATGGTCCTTCAACCAGGTACTGGTAGCTTTGGCACTGTGTGCAGGTGCCAAGTCCTGTTGGAAAATGAAATCTGCATCTCCAAAAAGTTGGTCAGCTGCAGGAAGCATGAAGTGCTCTAAAACTTCCTGGTATGTGGCTGCGTTGACCCTGGACCTCAGAAAACACAATGGACCAACACCAGCAGATGACATGGCACCCCAAACCATCACTGACTGTGGAAACTTTACACTGGACTTCAAGCAACGTGGATGAAGTGCCTCTCTTCTTTTCCTCCAGACTCTGGGACCTTGATTTCCAAAGGAAATGCAAAATTTACTTTCATCAGAGAACATGACTTTGGACCACTCACCAGCAGTCCAGTCCTGTTTCTCTTTAGCCCAGGCAAGACGCTTCTGACGCTGTCTGTGGTTCAAGAGTGGCTTGACACAAGGAATGCGACAGCAGAAACCCATGTCTTTCATACGTCTGTGTGTGGTGGTTCTTGAAGCACTCACTCCAGCTGCAGTCCACTCTTTGTGAATCTCCCCCACATTTTTGAAGGGATTTTGTTTCACAATCCTCTCCAGGGTGCGGTTATCTCTCTTGCTTGTACACTTTTTTCGACCACATCTTTTCCTTCCCTTCGCCTCTCTATTAATGTGCTTGGACACCGAGCTCTGTGAACAGCCAGCCTCTTTAGCGATGACCTTTTGTGTCTTGCCCTCCTTGTGCAAGGTGTCGATGGTCGTCTTTTGGACAACTGTCAAGTCAGCAGTCTTCCCCATGATTGTGTAGCCTATAGAACTAGACTGAAAGACCATTTAAAGGCTTTTGCAGGTGGTTTGAGTTAATTAGCTGATTAGAGTGTGGCACCAGGGGCCATCAATTTTGAACCTTTTCACAATATTCTAATTTTCTGATATGATGAATTTGAGATTTTCATTTGTTGTCATTTGTAATCATCAAAATTAAACAAAATAAACATCTGAAATATATGAGTTTGTATGTAATGTATGAATATAATATACAAGTTTCACTTCTTAAATGGAATTACTGAAATCAATCTACTTTTTCATGATATTCTAATTTTATGACCAGCACCTGTATATTGCATTTCTTCTTCCTTGATAAGGTTCAAGTGGAGAAGATAAAAAACCCAGAAGAGCATATTGGTGCGGTACTGGAGCGAGCCAAACCTGAATACATCCAGAAGACGTACCGTATTCCAACATGGACTTCACCTGAAGACTTCCTAGAGAAGCTGGCCTTTCGTACTGGGAAGCTTCTGAAGGTCATCCCATCATTTCTATTACAATTTTACCCGAGGCTACTTACATTTTTTGTTGTGATATTGATCTTTGAATATTGATAAAAATGCTGTCAGGTTCCAAAAGATTAAATGTAAACAGTTTGATTTATCTGCGTTTACAGGGAGGTGAGCCTGATCTCAGTACGGTCTCTAAAATGGTGTTGAATGACTGGCAGAGAGGACGGATCCCTTTCTTTGTGAAGCCTCCTGGACCTGAGGGAGATCCAGATGTAAGACTTAGCTAAATGTTTCACTTCTCCATCACTGCTCGGTTCTTTTCATGTGCATTACTCAATTACTGTAACTGCTGTAGGATGAAAAAACATTGCCCATTGAAGCACCACCAGCTGCAGAGGAAAAGGTTCAGGAGGAGCAGCTGGAGAACCAGGACGTCATCTCAGGGGAACAGGAGCAGCAGCGGCAGAAGGAGCAGGTCCAGAAGATACTGGCTAATGTCCGACAGAACTTCGGCAAGATCAACGTGGCACCAGAGTTCACTGAGGAAGATTTAATCCCGGTGGAAATGCCAGACTTAGACTTGTCTGACTTTTCTGGCTCTGACGCTGAGGAGGATGTTGATGAAGATGAGGAGGAAGATGAGCCCAGCGTAGACCCAGCTGAAGGAGACGCTGAGGTCTCTGAGGACACATCGTGTCAGACTGACTCTACGAAAGGCAAAAAGAGTTTACGGGAGGTAATCCGTGAGCATGATGAGAAAATAGCCAAGTACAAGCAGTTCCTGGACCGAGCCAAATCCAAGCGCTTCTCAGCCATCCGGTAGGTTCTGATGTTCAAGTTTCTTATTACATGTTTTCTTTGTCTTGGACTGTAGCCTTAGTTTTTATTCAGTAATAAGATGCAGGCAAAGAGAAGAAAGGCATATCATTCATTCAAACTGTGGCAACAATCATTTTAAGCCCATAGACTATATCACGATTTTAATACCAACTATTTAGTTAATCTTGGTCCAGTTTAGTTCATGTCTGCAAATCCCAGAAGAAATAAACAGCTGGTTTTGCTTGGAAAACTTCACAGTTTGCTCTTTCTCCATCTGTTTGGACAGAATACCAAAGGCCCTTTCTGACAAAGTGCTTTCAGGCATGAAGACCAAACAGGAAGCAGCAGCTAAACAAACCCAGAAGGGAGAGACTCTGGTAACAGGTACGCCCATTTATCGCTCTGTGGTGGAAGTCCAACATTTCTGAACAGTGCAACCCTTTGGCTGGGTCAGTTGACATTTATGCACTAACAGCTGTTTTCTTTTTTTCCTTGTTTTTTGTCTATAATTTCATTTTTTCAGCTACAACCCAGGCGACCAAGAAGAGAAAAATGGAGGAGGATGTTGAGTCCTTGCAGCAGCACAGGCTTACATCTAAACAGGTCAGTAGGTTTTGTTTGCTAATGTAAAAAAAGGTTATTTTCTAAATGATTTGTGCCACATAAACGGTTTCAGATTTTAAATCATAACCACAAACTTTTGCACCTTTTTATTAGTTTAGTGATTAAACAGTATAAACAGTCCAGCTCTCTGACTCTAGTATATTTGGTGATACTTGTTTTTAGCTTTATATACATTGAAAGGACGCATGTTTGCATGCTACAATTATTGAAAATCTATTTCATTACACTTTGTTCCAATAAACTACCTTGAAATTTACTAATGTGACAAAGTGAGGATTAATATTTTTGCATGGCATGGTGGGTTTAATTTTTCTGATGCCATTTTTTGTACTTTTTTTCCCCCATGTTTACAGAGAAGAGCGCTAGACCGTGCCAAGAAGGGAAAGAAAGTTGGCGTGCATTACTATGAAACACACAATGTGAAAAACAAGAACAAGAACAGAAAGGCTCCACCTCAAACTACAGAAAGCCGTGGAGCTAAAAGATCAAAGCACTAGACTGACAGATAGCAAACATATAATAGGTTTATAAATCAGCCAAATTGGCTACATTCTATTGAAAAGAAACTGGCAAAAACTAAATCCTAAACATCAATGTGGCCATGTTAACTGCTTGAAATATATCTGTGATGCTCTAAAAATAAAATGCAGAATTTTTTGAGACTTGTTCATTTGACAAACTCGGTGAGTCTGCCTTCCTCCTTGTTACGCTTCAATTCTCTGGAGTATTGCTTCCTTACAGTTGCATCTGCAATCAAAATGTATTTCTATAAATGTTTGGAAATCCTACATGTCACAAAAATGTGTGTATGTGTGTGTGTATATATATATATATATACACACACATTTTGTCACCTCTAACTGTTGTAAGTTTCTCTTCAAAACCTTGATTTCTTCTTTGTAGTTGCTTTCCAGTACTTCAATCCTGTGAGCTTCACGCTTTATCCATACATCATTTTCCTCTTTCTGTTCATCCATTTTTTGTTGCATCTGCAATCAAAATGTATTTCTATAAATGTTTGGAAATCCTACATGTCACAAAAGTTTGTGTGTATATATATATATATATATATATATATATATGATGGAACAGTTTATGAAAACCATCCGAACCGTTCGGTTCATGCGCTGCTCCTTTTTCTCATAGGCGAAGCGTGTACACTCCAGAGCAGAAGGTGGCGGTACTGCGACTAAAGCCAACCACCAGTAGTTAACAAGAAGAAGAAGAAGCGAAGCCGGGTGTAGCAGAAAAAAAATCAGTTGTGGAGTATGGCAAGTGGCAAAGAACAGGAGTTGGAAGACGCAGCAGCGCTTTATAGGTCTGCTGTATGGGACCACTTTGCATTTAGAGTGACTTACGATGACGGCGGAAAGAAAGTTGTTTATAAAAGTGCAACAGTGTGCAAGCATTGTGCAACACGTTTTGTTTATGCTAACAGCAACATGTCAGGCTAACCCCGAAATCCCACATACTCCGTCAGCACTCCGCTGTGCTCCAGACCGCCTGCTCAAAGTTCCTTGGAAATAGTAAAGGGCATGCACAAGATGATTAAATTCAAAGCAGCAAAACATGCAGAAATGATCGAGGGTTTCCGCGGATCATTAAAAATAATTACAATTCATTATTTTTTGGGGGATTTTTTCATTAATTTCATTAATTTTTATGGGATTTCGGGGTAACAATCAACATATACCGAACCGAAAACCGTGACCACGAAACCGTGAACTGAACCGTGGATTTTGTGAACTGTTCCACCCCTAATATATATACATTTTGTCACCTTTAGCTGTTGTAAGTTTCTCTTCAAAACCTTGATTTCTTCTTTGTAGTTGCTTTCCAGCACTAAAATCTTGTGAGCTTCACTCTTTATCCATACATCATTTTCCTCTTTCTGTTCATCCATTTTTTTCAGCAGATCCTGTTTCTCCCTTTCTAGATCTTCAACCTACAAATGTGAAAGACACAGTAGGAAGTCCACAGTTATCAGTTGCATCTGGAAATAAAGAGTGCTCTCTGATGGAGTTCTAACTACGGTAATATCCAATACCATAGTTTAAGCCAGAAAGGGTTGAAATTATTACATACAGCTTATTAACAAAAAAAAATATTCATTGTAAAAAGTGATAAACTGATGCCCTTACCCTTTTTTCTAAATCCACCATTTCAAGTTCAGATTGTAGCGCCTTTCTGCTGCCATAAAGAATGCTGCTTTCAATCATCTTCTGGTAGGTTTTGATGGTCATTTGACTCTCGTCTCTGACACTCAGCAGAAGCAGACCCATCTCAGCACAGGTTATGGTGGTCTGCCTGATTAATTCATCTAATGATGATAGAAATGAATGCATTGTCAAAGTTATAAGTGATCCAGTCTTGTGTAATTTTGACAAATATGGCCATGTAGATAAAGAAACTACTAGAAATCCTAGGTTTGAATCTACATACAACATTTACATGAATTTCATATGTTTGTCCCATCTAATTTTTAAAATGGAGTGGTGGCCTAGTGGTTAGGGCATTGGGCTTTGAATCCTGAGATTGTGAGTTCGATCCCCCACTCCCACAGACTGCCACTCTGGGTCCCTGAGCAAGACCCTTAACCTCACACTGCTCCCCGGGCGCCTCTTAAGGGGATGGGTTAAATGCAGAGAAGCAATTTCCCTCTGGGATTATTAGAGTATGTAAAAAAAAAAAAAATTATAATTGTTCCAGGTGGAAAAAATTACACATTTTTTCCATTTCAGTTTAAAATACACTAATACATCTCCAGAAATATTTGAATAAACAATCCTTTCCAAGAGTCTGAGAAACTATGTTCTGTCTGTAGATATTCCCAAGCTTTTCACTGATTATCTTTGGTGCTTTAGCTACTTTTCCAGGCATTGTTAATCTAAATTAAAATAGTTTGTACAGTTAGGCACAGACCCAGCTTTTAATCATAGCCTATAACAATTAACCAAATGGTCGGCTTCGGTCAGACGCATCTATTCCTTGCTTCCCGCTTGCTTATATTTTCTTACTTTTTACCATCTTATCTCTTAGCCAAAGCCACAGAAAGTTGGACAAAACAATTTTTTCAAGGATTCCCTAGCTGGGCTACTTAATAGAAAATTTTTATATGATCACACTGCAGAGGACAAGTCCACATCAGCACAAAATGCCTCCCTTCACCACACTGGACTTGGACAAGCTTCTACAGAGGATGGCTGTCATGGAAATGAAGATTAAACAACTGGAACTAAATGCTGGTCAGGAAAATGTTACAACCCTGCCAATTTCATCCTTGAAGGTGTCTGAAAACACTGAGATGACCCCACCTGTGGTTTTAAATAGCAACATGTCGGAACAACTAACCAACAGAACTTTGGGAAACGGGCAGAGTCTAATGAAAATAACCACACTGGTAGCTGGTGTGGTGGGATGGTGTCCCACCCTGCCCACTCTTTTATCAGCCTTTATCACCTGAAGAATATTTTATTTTATTGTTTAAATAATGTAAAGCAGTTTGAATTGTCCTTGAACCGAATTTTACTGTACAAATACATTTGCCTTGCCTAAAGGGGATAAGACTGAATGTAGAATTGAAGTTACATGTGAGCTAGTCTTGTTTAAAATAAAAAAATAAGCTTTGATTTGCTTTTATGTTATTGCACTTAGTTGAGCCTGTTTTTCAACCATTTACTCGGTGAGGTAAGATTAAAGGAACTTTTTTTTCTCTTACCTGTTTTAGATAATTGTTTCTTGATGACTCTAAATATTTGTCTTGACACTGGCTCAACAACTCTATCATTGTCTCATCCTCATCTTGTAATAAATATTTTCTCTAGAGATCATTTAGCTTTTCCTGAAATTTTCAACTGCATATTTCAGTCATGCTCAAAGGCATTGACCTTGGAACGGACATTCTTTTTTAGTCAGGAACACTCCAGTCCATGTAGGCTATGAAGACTAATGTAGGCCTTTTAAAGGCTTGAACCTTGATGGTTCCCAAACATCTAAACAATTTCCCTTTAATCTGATTTTGAATGTTTGTGTCAGATGACTGAAACTTGGCAGAAAACTGAGCAATGAAATAAGACAATGTTTCATAACTAGTTGTAGAAGGCTAACAAACTCTCTGAATAGCCTGCCTAAAATCAAGAGTATTCTTTTAAAATCTTGATTCATCCAAAGAAAACACACAAGCTAAAATTAATGCTACATTCCCCCCCCCCCCCCCCCCCATACCTTTGGTCAGTTGTACATAATGATGCGCAGAAGCTTGCTAAAATACTGTTATTCAAATATCAGTAGATGTGTAGAGGTGTAGCAATGTAAACTTCTCATTAGAAGTGTATGATGGTGGGTATATTGATTGCATCACCAGCAAGTCCTTACCAAAACACTGAGAATAAAGCTCTCTGCGGATGGGACAGATGCCTGTAAGCCTGGCCTGTCTCTGCTGCAGCTTTGTATCCAGCTGTTTCTTCAGTTGGATAACATCTGCTCTTGTAGACGGAGCAGTAGATACCTTCTGCACCCACAGCTGGTTTCCGTCCATCCATTCCCTGCAACATTAATGGTTGAGAATAAATTGTTTGAAATAAATAGGACAGTTTACTAAATAAGAACATGGGCATACCTGGGTGGAAAAATGACTTCCAGGACCTCCTTGGTTTCCTTATTGTCTTCACTCGTTGCAGGTTTTGATTTAGAAGGTGGAGTAGCTGGTTGGAAATCTGATGGCTGCTGAGGGATTGTCCAGAGAATACCAGATAACAGAAAAGTTATGTGAAAATGTACCAGTTGAATCTAAACATGCACCTAAGAGCACTTTAAAGACACCAGTTAACAGTTGAGTCTTTGGACTGTGGGGGACCAAGAGAGAACAAGCGTATGATTCAGGAGAAGATAAAAGCTGCATTCAGCAGCTCTTTCTGCAAAGCAACAGGGCTGTAAGCTGTGCAGCCTGCTCTGAGGTAATGTCATTTAAAGAAACGTTGTTCAGGTGTGTACAATCATGGGAAGAAAATAGCTGACCACACTGAAAAAAACTATCTAGAAATAATTTAAAAAAATTCTTAATTTATTTTCGGATTGTAGTTCTTGTGATTAGAGCAGTGCGCTTGTGCTCTTAGAAGACTGCCACTCTGGATCCCTGAACAAGACTCTGAACTCCACACTGCCGCACAATGGCAGCCCACTGCTCCCCAAGGGAATGGGTTAAATGCATAGGTAAATTTCTCCAATATGAAATCAATAAAGTTTTCGATTTTTTATTATTTATTTTAAATTGAGTGTATTTCCCCTTAATTTTAGTAGGTAAATACGGTTTGATTTGACATTAGAATGAGTAGTTATTAATTGGCCTTTAATCCTAAAATAAGATCATTAGATTTTATGTTCCTGAAATAAGAGAAGGCAAATTGTTTTTCCCTTATTTAAAATGTAAATTGTCTTGTGGAATTGGCAAAGTGTCTCACTTTCCCCCTCAAATCAAGAAAATATGCACTTATTTCAAGAAAAGAAAAAAAAAGACTTATTTAGATTTGAATTTTCTGCAGTTTAAGGTTTCCCAAAGGTGATGGTTTGAAGTCCTGAAACCAAGCAAATGAAAACGTTGGTGGAAGGAAAGTGTGGTATGTAAAATATAAACAAGTACAGTCTGGATATCCTTATGAAGCAAACCTCTCATCAAAGACTGAATCCAGAATAAGAGCTAAAACTTTTTTCTTTTTTTTCCCCCGTTCCCCCCCTTAAGCAATCAACTTAGAAACTATTTATTCTTCATTGAAAAAAATACTATTTTATTTAGCTTTAGTCCATAATCGTTTAAACTAATTAAGTATACATGGAGGCCTAACCTGAAGACTTCCTAGAGAAGCTGGCCTTTCCTACTGGGAAGCTTCTGAAGGTCATCCCATCATTTCTATTACAATTTTACCCGAGGCTACTTTAATTTTTTAGCTGTGATATTGATCTTTGAATATTGATAAAATGCTGTCAGGTTCCAAAAGATTTAATGTAAACAGTTTGATTTATCTGCGTTTACAGGGAGGTGAGCCTGATCTCAGTACGGTCTCTGAAATGGTGTTGAATGACTGGCAGAGAGGACGGATCCCTTTCTTTGTGAAGCCTCCTGGACCTAATTGAATGGAGGCCTAATTGAATTATTATTATTATTATTTTAACCACATAGGCCTACTCTTTTTGGTTATATTGGAATTAATTTTAAGGCACATATCTATTATGTTGTGGTGGTCCTGCCGCATAAATCTTGGTCCGATTTATGTACAAACCTACCATTTCAATGTGACTGCAACAAACTCACCTTTGGAGATTTAGTCTCTGAATTCTTGATCAACATCGGATTATTGTATTTCAGAAGAGAATCAGATAAAGGAATCATTTTTCACTTCCTTTTTTTTTAACACAAAGAAAAAATAAAATAAGTTTTGCCCGCAGACACCGAAACTTATTTGCTCGTTGAAGTTGGTTGTAACTGTCGTCATGGTAACGGTGTCCTGTTGTTCCTGACGTCTTTTAAATGGCATGGCAGAAAGAAGTACTTAAGCTGTGCTTAAATTATCAAAACAAGAACCCAATATATGATCTTTTTTGATGAAGGGTTAGTTTTTCTAAACACACAAAAAACAGTATGTCAGCTAGTTCGGAAAATCGTGATTGGAAAAAAATATTACATTTAATTTATTTTAATCAAATTTTTGACTCAGTAGCCACCTAACGTTCGCTTATGACACTCTTTAATATATATATATATATATATATATTTTTTTTACAGCTAACAAGAACTATACGTTATACTTATTAAGAAGTAAGTACTTATTAAGCGCTTCAAATGGAACCGGAAGTGGTTGTAACTTTTTTTTTTTTTCCATATATCCAAATAACACTATCAGAAAAGCAAAAACGTACAATTGAACATATGTCAACCATAACAGTTTTCTTTCAGAAAAAGAAACATAAAATATAAAAGAATAAGAAAGAAAATTAAATTTAAAAAAAAACACAGGGGTTTAACTAAAGTGTATTGCTATCAAGTCTGAAAACTTTAAGGCCTTGTTGTTCTCCAGTAACTTAATCGATGCATGAAAACTTTTAATATTGTTTTGGAATGCTTGAAAATTTGGAGAAACTTTAAAGAATCTGCAATTGTGGATAAAGAATTTTCCCATAATGAAAATAATATTACATAAAAATTCTAAAAAAAATTTCATGAAAAGTAATGTCAAATTTAACTCCTTTATATTCAAAATTAGGAATCACGTTGATAACCAATCATAAATCTTGCCCCAAAAAGACTTAACCACACAACAATTGTAAAAAAGATGTTCTTGTCTTTCTAGATCTTTCTGACAAAAGTTACATACACTAACATCAAATTTAAATCTTAAACTTAAGATTTCTGCACAGGGATATATATTATTTACAGTTTTAAGATGAACTTCTTTCATCTTTGGTAATATAGGAAATGAGAAAAATCTGGTTCTAACCTTAAGAACTTCCATCTCTGAAAACACGTTTAAATATATGTTCCTCTTAACTGGGAGAGGAAAAATTGTATTGTTTATGTGTTCTCTTATCATTTTGTTATTAAATTTGAGATCCATAAAATTGTAATTATCTATAAGAAGAGTGGGAAAGATCAGTGTTACATCAGAATATTTAACCATTCCTTTGACCAAATGTATCATGGTTGCCGGAATTGCCCTAATCAGAGATAGAAATTTTTTCCTTGGACAATCTAAATTATATATTCTTTTAAATACTGTGTAATCCAGAATATCACCCTTTGTGTCCATAAGATGTACAATGGCCCAGATACCCTTTTCCTCCCATTCTCTGTAGTATACAGATTTTCTCTTATACAAAATTAATTTGTTATTTCAAATAATCTTATTATGTGGCATAAAATTGTGCTTGTATAACATTTTCCAATACTTTAGAACTTGTGTGTGGTAGTCTGATAATTTATGGTAATTTGAAAGGATCAAAGTTACATCTTCAGAGAAATTTTATTCCTCCAATTTTTTGAAAAAGTTCTGAAGGGAAACTAAACCATAAACTTGTTTCATTTTTTATAAAAGTCTGCAGCCATTTTAATTTTATTACAGCAACCAGAGGTGGTTGTAACGACGCAGTGCTAGAAGTTTTGTAAGGGTTTGAAGCTGGTTTTTACTATGTTTGTTGCCTTTTTTGTGCACAAAAAACTAAGAGTTAAATGATGAAACGCATTTTTAAAAAATGCATGGACTCTCAAATTTATCCTGGTTCGTCACATTTTTCTCGTTTCAGTAACTGTAATAGCAAAGAAACGACCCAATGGTGCATGGACCAAAAACTATGTTTTTATGATCTACTAATTCAAAGCTTTGAGAACGCATTCATTTAAGATGGTACGTTATTAGAATACAAATTTATAAAACCAATACTTCATTTTTTGCTAATTAAAAGCCAGATAAGTTAAACATTGTGCTTTTAACAAAATATATAAAAATCTGTGTTTAATGTAGGACACCCAGTCCAATTTTTACTTTTTTTGTCTTTTTTTTTTTTTTTTTGACACAGTGAGACCAGTTTTAACTGGTTCTGTTGTCTTAAAGAATAAAGAGAAAAAAACACATTTTAACTGATTTTATTTGGAATATTTTTTCTCTCACACACTGTGTGTTAGAGGCGATAAGAGTTTTTTTTTTTCCATACTTTTTTTTTTTTAAGATTATAAAATTAATTAGAAAGGCGACATTTCCAAAGCTCTTAATCTCCAATTATAGCAGAGTGGTATCAGGTTTTGAGTTTTGGCCATTTTGGCTTTTAGCAGTCCGGAATGTGAAAACGGTGATCTCTGTTTTTAGTTGGTTTTTTTTTTATATGTGTTTGTCTGCTTTCATTTTATCTTAACCAAAGCAGGGTTAATCCAGAACTGCCTTTTTTTAAGAATGTAAACCTCATTGAGGTTTTGTTTTAGGGTTGGTTAAGCATACAGATAATTTCCAAACAAGGAGAATTTCCTTCGCTGAGAAATGTATAAGAAATTCAAACACTAAGTTTAAGTATTTTTTTGAAAGGTAAATGTTTGCTGTTTGGGAGGTTTAGCATTGTAATTAGTGTAACCGAGCGTTTTAGGTCCGTATTATGAACTTTATATGCAATAACGGGACAGGTGACGGGCCAGAGTTTTCGGAGGTAACCCCGCTTCCGGTTTTATTTTCTTCTTCTCCCTTCAACACATAACCAAAACTCACAAGCTCCCCCTGCCGTACACCCAGCAAACTTTCGCTCTCCGGCAACAGGGATGGAAACAACTTTAACATACAGACACAGAACGGTCTGTTACATTAGCATAACTTCCATCATCAAAGGTTTTAAGTTCATGTATTGTATTTCTTCTTCCTTGATAAGGTTCAAGTGGAGAAGATAAAAAACCCAGAAGAGCATATTGGCGCGGTACTGGAGCGAGCCAAACCTGAATACATCCAGAAGACGTATCGTATTCCAACATGGACTTCACCTGAAGACTTCCTAGAGAAGCTGGCCTTTCCTACTG